GAACTCCAAGGGCTGTCACGTGGGAAATCCCATACAATGTACATGCTAGATAGTTGACGGGGGGACGATGGAAGTGGGGTTGGGCGAATGCTGTTCCCTGTGGGATAAGTAATCGGTCTCTGTAAACTAGCCTTAGCACGCCGCTTGCCCTCTATAGGGATCTGTGTGGCTCTATGCCTCCGGCGCTTAAACAATCAAATCAAATCAAATCAAATCAAATCAAATCAAAGTTTGCGATGTTTTATCAACCTAATCAACCTAATCAACTCAACGTCATCATTATGTTGAGTGGGTTGGCCAGTGAGAATGTGTTACGTTGAGTTTGGTTGGGTTGATTGACATCAACCAGGTTGACAACCTCATGATTGACGTTGAGTTGATCGCCACCCTGTCGCGCGATAAGCAGTTCAATATAATCACGCAGTTTAAGCGCACGTCGGATCATGTATAATTGCGAAAGCCATCGAGTATCGTTATCCAACACAACGTCCGAAGGCTTTCTAGTCTTGAATTTAGGGTCAGGCGACTGGTCGAAGGAGGTGCGCTGGAGCTCTCGAAGCAAGTTAGTCAGCTTGTCAGATCGGTGGATAAATACCACTATATTGTGCAATTTGCCCACTGGACCCCTCTTCTGCCAAAGCAAGTGCTCGGCTTCTGATTTATCCAAGTCGCACTCGACCTTGCTCGTGCCCTTGTACCGTCACATATTGTTCACCTGTACCTCGATATGGTAGATCACTGTCCTCGACGTGAACATCGCCAGTCCCGACATCCCAAAGCCTCAGCCCACCGAACGCAGAGTTTTTTCACCCCTTTTTCCCACCAAACCAACGAACCAAATAAATGAACCCAAATGACCCAAACCTATCGAATTCAAACTGACGAAAAGAAACCAACGAACCACTCTAACGAAACGAAATCAACCAACCCAACGAACCACACAGAACGAACCCAAACTAACGAAGTCGTCAACCAAGCCAACCACACCAACCAACGAAAACTTAAGGAAA